ACTCCACAAATTCTGGAAACTGCCTTAAATTGCAAGAGCGAATATGTATTTGAGGAATGATAGACGGCAATTTGAACATTTAATGAGATATCGTGAACGACGTAGATGGTTAGGAGTATTTTGACATTAATTTTTTTCTGTTTTTTACTTGGTGTATTACATATTCTTCCGATATGTGGAGCTCATTTATAGCTTCTTTGATTTCTTGGCTCAAAAAATATTGTTCCCTACTTTTTTGAGGTAGCAGACGGTAGAACCAAAAAACTAAATTCGATTGATAGTTTTTGTCATATATTTCAAAAACAGACACTGATATTTTAGATCTAAAAAGATATTATTCTAGTTCCCCAATTGTTATGTTGGTATGAATTTGTAGGTTTGTGAAACGATAAATGTAAGACCAATCCCTTACCATAGGAGTGCGATTGAAGGTAATTTTGTACAGCTTTTGGTTATTAAAAATCCTAATTGTAATAAATATCTATATTCACAAAAACTTTTGGCAAATCACCTCCCCTTGGGAGATATCAAATAACCTCAATATTATGTATGGACTTGCGATCTTCATTATTATTCCCACGGATTCCTAAGGAAAATATTCCCATTCCTCTGTGTTTTCCCATGAGAATACTTGTTTAGATCCTATGGGAATATCTCGACAATCGAGTTCCTTGAAGGAACAAAGTGCCATTTTACGAGTTTTTAGTGTAGTTCCCGAAAAAGATTTTTCGACTTTTGAATGAATCGCCCAGTTTTGACTTCAAGATCGACCGAAATTACGAAAATCCAACCAAAAATTGTTCAAAAACAACCACGAGCCGTTGAAACTGATATTTACCTTTCTTCTCTTGTTTTTTAGCGAAAAATCATACTTCCACGCCGAACACAAACAAACCGACACCTCTGCACTATATATAGCACGATAATTGACCGACAATGAAGGTGTAGCACCGTTTTATAATAGTTAATACCGTCTGACGACGCGCCACAAAACGAACTGGTGTCTCTCGCTAGCTGGAAACGATCTGTCTGAACTGGATTCAACCGGTTGCGCCTTGAATTAGCGGTTAGATGCAGTACTAGCGGTCGTAGTTGGCAGATTATTTTAATAAATTTATGCAGCAGGCTGGGGCTAGTGCACATAAGCGCGTGNAAATACTTAAGTACACTCAACAATTTTTTCCAAATCGCCGGGTGCCCTCAAAACATATATTCACTATATTTTCACACTCCGAACAGACAAGCGTCAACTAAATGGTCGTCAGATATAAACAAAATCTTCAAATTTTCCCCACGATATCGCTAATGTGAACAAAATGTACCATTTCTAATGTTTTTGCGTTTCGTTTCAAAATAGCAAGCAATCCATGAAAACATTCCCAAATAAAATCTACAATTGCGATAATAAACGCCTCGGTTTGTTTCTACCGGTTTTGGTTGGTATGTCGATCAGAGTTTGTTGTTTCACCTACGATTTTGGTCAGAGGCGTATTAAGGGAGTGGGATTCAATAATTTTCAAACTGGTACAATTTCGGAGATTCGCGTCTACAGACAGCTAACTTATGGCATGTATACTTTTAACTTTACAACAGACTTTAGCACATCTGCACTAAGGTCAGGTATCTGTAATTGGTCCCTGAAATAACAAATGTTACCTGAATAATCAATACCTACCAAAACTACAATAACTAATTATCTTCTATAGCACGATTACCAACTGTTGAATGGATCCTGAAACTAGATGTCAAAATTCACAAATTCAAAAGAACTATGCAGCTCGCCCCACCCCCCTTTTTCGACTTTGACTCATCTTAATATTACCAACAATCCTCAGAAATTGACATTTTGGATATCGAGTTTTGGCGCATATAAAATACACAAATATATTCATTTCGTTAAATAGTTTTCAAGTGTTGGAACTTCGAAGTTATAATCTTCTCAGTAACTTATTTTGGTAAATGTTCATTTTCTCCGGCGATAGTTTTTGAAATATTTTTAATTAGACATACGTATTTTCGTTCGTTAATCACGAATATCAAGTCAAATTTAGGTACTCTAGTCTATAACTCAAAAACCGTACCAACTAAAAATATGACACCATTTTTCAAGATTGCATACTACGAGGTTATGCGAACATTTCAAAAGTTTTCATAGAATAAAAAACTTCAATTCCACCAAAATAACCTTTTTTGAAGTCATGCTACAAGTGATTTTATCTTTTAACAGAGTGTTTTGTTAATATTTATTAGAAACTTCACAAAAAGTCAAAGTCAAGAAGCACAATTACTTAATTTCGACCCTAAAGGTAGGTACATGTTCATTTTCAAACATGAATACAACTCATCAGCTAACTACACAAACATGAAATCAATTCTGAACGACAAAAAAAGAAGTCGTATCCTTGATTTTTTCATAAACATTTGAATGTGACAGAACCAAGATAGAAAAACCCTGGTGCAGTCACTGATTCGCTTTTGTTTCGTCAAAAGCTCTCGAAGCGACTAAACAGATTAACCCAACTTTGTACATATGTCGATAGATGGTGTAAGAATCGAATTCGGCAACCCTGCTTGCATTCACTAGCTTCGGTGGTTTACCGCATAAAAGCGCTTTCAACGCTACATTCAGACGTCCTGCAGCAATTACCGTCTACCACATTCAATGGTGAAAAAGAGCGGCCTTATTCGCAAACAATTTGTTTTGATATTTCCAATTGAATATATAATGATTTTTCACTATTTCATTGAAACTCCACTTATTGATTATCAACCAGTCCATGCAGCCCTTCTGAATAACTACCAGTATGCATATCAAACCGGCAAATCGACATATTTAGCATTGAACAACCTTGTGGAGAATATTTCCCTTGACAACAAGGAGATTGCGGTTGCTGTATTTCTTGATATTGAAGGAGCATTTGACACTGCACTACCTAAATCTAAAGGATCATCCCTGCCTGGAAAAGGCATAGAATAGACCATAACTGGCCTATGCCATGCTGGTAAACATAACTGCAACTACGACTCTTCAAGACGAGGCCATCAGGTTAAGGGTCACCTGGGGCTGCCCTCAACGTGAGGTACTATCTCCCCTTCTGTGGTAGCTTCTCATGGATAGTCTGCTTGATGCCCTGGACGGAAAAGAAGTAGATCTGCAAGCTTATACAGATGACCTTGTTATCTTGGCAAGGTCCACGTCGGGAATGGTATCTTGTAATATCCTCCAAAGTACGCTGGACGTTGTTAACAGTTGGTGCCAGAGGGAGCAGATGTCTATCAACAGAGGAAGCAGATGTCTATCAACAGAGGAAGCAGATGTCTATCAACCCCTGCAAAACTGTGATAATCCCCTTTACCAGGAGGAGGAAATTGGACGACTTAACGCCACTCTTCCTCAATGATGAGGTCATTCCATTTGGATCAGAGGTGAAATATCTTGTCCTTGATAAAAAACTCACCTGGAACGCTAACTTGGAAAAAGTTTTACACAAAGCCAGACTGTCCCTATGGACATGTCGGAGGATTTGTGGTAAAACTTGGGGTTTAGGTCCTAAACAAATCCATTGGAATTATGTGATGATTGTCAGCCCAATGATCACTTATGGAGCAATTTCCTGGTGGCCCAAGGCTTTGCAGAAAATGGCTCATGCAAAGCTCTTAGGCTTGCAGACACAGGCTTGTCCGACCATCTGTGATGCCATCAGTCACACATCATCGGCGGCCATGGAGATCCTTCTAGATCTACCTTCTCTCCACATTTTTCTGGATAAAGAGGCTAGATGGACTGCTTATAGACTTGTGCACATTGCCAGAGTATTGACAAGTTTTAATTGTCTGTGTCTTCGAAATTTGACCAGAGCGTCAAGTTTTGAAATCAGATCCGTGATCAGCAGACAAATATACATGTGGATAAACAATAATTTTTTCAACAATCGCGGCTGCTGAAAAATTAGTATATTGTGCAACAAGTGAGAAAAACGACATATTTCTCATTGTGTTAGCTATGGAGTTGTCGATATAAGATTCAGCAACATTGCTGGATTTCCAACCCCCATGGCGTTTTAAAGTTAAAAGATCTGCCCCTGCATTAACTAAAATAGTCGCAGATGACCTTCGAAACAGTGGTCAGTATATAATTCAGGGTTCCGTAATTGTAAAAATTTCGCTATTTCTTTCGCCACGGTGCCAAATTTATTTATCCCCACAGGCTGTTTCGTACACTTGCTATTATTGTAATTAAAAAAAAACGTGTTTCATTTGTGCATGGTCAAAGCTTCACATATTTATTGTAAATTTAGTAAATTGTAAATTTCCAGGAACCTTGGTTTTATTATCGGGTAATTTTATTAAAAGAGCCGAATTAAGATCTTCCATGTCATCAATTTTTAATTTTCGAAGTTCATCACAACGGCATGCTCCTGTAAGGCCAATAGCTAAAGCAGCCTGAAATCAAAACCAAACATTCATTTTTCGATAACAATTTAAAAATCTTCAATTCATACCTTTATCAGCAAATACTGGTAAATTTTCGTTTTGAGGACGGACACCCGGCGATTTTGAAAAAATGTTTGCGTGTACTTACGTATTTTGATGCATAGATTACGAATCTGAAAGAAAAAAGCGGCGCTCTCCCTTATTCACAAAGTTACGGCCTTCAAAGTTCTGAAAAGGGCAACTTTTTAGCCTTCTTTTTCAAAAAATAAACTATTTAAAAAAACAAGCATTCATTCACTAGGTCACCTTTACACGTAATTCCTCCTTCTTTGACACTTTTCACTTCAATCATCAACATTTTTCCAATAAAAATGTTGAAAAATGTACGGTGCTGATTTTTGGTTGCATATCTTTGTATTTTACGTTTTTAAGGTTAATGGCATGATTGGTACGACTGATGCAGTCCATATTCCTAAAGTATTTCAAATGTTTTTTACTCTAGATCGTAAATTGGTTTTTGGTGGTGTATTACGAATTTGAAATAGTAGGCGACGGCAAATACCAACCGCTTTTTTAACAACACCGTTGTTTGTTCCATCATCAACTGCTCTCGGTGGAAGCAAATTTTGAATTTGCGGGTTACTGAAGAAAAGATGTTATCTTCAATCACAAATGTTTCTCTGGCAGTATTATTCAATATTAATCAATCGATAAAAGCATTTTCATTACGTGTAGTGGTACTTTATAGATACAAAATTTTTGTAGTTGTCTGAAGATATTGTCTTTGGGATATAAAAAAGTTTAAAAACAATAAAAATCATATTGCAAAAACTCCCAAAACACAATTCTATATCTGAGGAGTGACTCAATTGAAGCATAACACTGTGCTGACTTTTTCCAATTCCTTCCAATCCTTTTTCGTATTCTTGAGATAATGTTGAAAATTTGAAAAACTAAAAACAGAACTGGTCCAAGAATCCTTCATTATATTACGTCGCTGCCCTAGTAGAGATATCAGATTTCTGAGTAATCTCACAATCTGGTTTCCACTCTAGTGCACATATTGGAATTCAAGTATATTTTTTCAAGAAGTTTGAAAATTTCACATCGCTGTACATCCTACCGACTGCGCCAATTAAGTTAGCTTTAGGATAAAAAAGAAATATTCTGACTACAACTTTAATTTCATCATAACGAAACTTCATGAATGTTCATTGAATTTTCACACAAAGTGACTTCGTTTTTAACACTCATCGCAAATTCCAAGACAGTTTCAGTTTGCCAACATGAAGACTTATCGAGTACTCAATTTTTTTATCACTGACATAAATGAATCGGTTCCATCAACCTCTCTCTGGAACGTTCGATAATAAAAGTCAAATCTAGCAAGATTGAAGCGCTTAACAACTCTGGCAATTGCAACTCTCCCAATTGCTAGTTACGAATTGCATCATAGTATATCTCCACCTGTTTTTTGCAGGCGGGACAAAAATTAACTGCTGCTATAAATAGACGAAGAAGGTAGTCACAATTGTTAACTGCGTTTATTTTACAACCAGTGCCTGAGAATAAATTGTCATCAATTGAAGAACTGGACTGTCGGTTATTCAATTAACCGAGTTAAACATGGGTCCTGATTATAGTGGAAGACGGGAAAAGCTCTATCAAGGAAAAGACCTCGATTATTTTGTTTATGTTTCATAATATGAAATGCTGATAACAAGGCAGAGACTCGTAATATGGATTCACAATACATTATTCGCTATATGAGTCATACATTGTTTATATTCAGCTGGAATAAAAAACTCTTGGACAGACTGAAAACACCTTTCAAGCGAATATTCTTCAACCTTGAGTTCGAAAACATTGATAGTTCGTAGGTTTTTTTTAATAGGTGGAGGAAGGCTTTTGAAGAGCCTTCATCTACTAGGGTGGGAGATTTTACAAATAGAGTCGTTTCGGCTCAATCCGGTGAAGAATATACCTCTTTCAATTCAAACAAAATTCCTTTGGCTGAGACTCAATCAGATAAGCCAATGAGTGTCATTATATACTGTCATCGATGACATGAGTAGACTCATGACGTAAAGTCGTAAGTTTATGAATGAATTGAGTGATCCAGATTGGTGTTGAAGAGGAAATAAGGCTTATTCCGAAACGTCGGACGTCCACCAGCGAGGATGACAGTGTTCCATGTGAGTGAAATGTTACCTCCTTCATCTACTATATAAAACTGGATGTTTGTTGGTTGGTTGGTTGGTTGGTTGGTTGGTTAGTGATGAACCTATACATCGCTCAACTGATCGTGATGAAACTTGACATGTATAAGTAATTTTTCATATAGAAGATTCTTTGGCTATCAATTTTTCTATAACCCGCCACTAGATGGCGATGTAGAACACTTTTTTGAAAGCACTGTTCTATAACGCTGCTCACGCCCAAGTTCGTTGATTCTGATACAGCAACATAGTACTAGTATACTATATTGTGTAGCAATCCTGTGAATGGTATCTGATTCAGTTCCATTATGAATGTGTGTAGTATAAACTGAATAGAAGAAAGTGATTACGTTTGCTTCTACTGAACAGTGTTTAGATCGAAAAATTAATGTGTTCCAAAAGTATTGCTCTGGATATCATCGAAGTAATATCCCGCTTCTTAACTGTTTCCATTCATAACAGATTTTTTGAAAACAGATATCTCTAATTTGTTTTCTGCTATTTCCAACTGAAGGACGAATCCTTCATGCAAGTTATAAGATTGCTAATGGAATTGCCACTTTCAACAGTTATAACCAACATATATATGGAGTGGTTTGAAACTCTGGCCATTAAAGAAGCCCACAAGAAGTCCCGTTGATGACACCTTCATAGTATGGAACCACGGGAATGCAGAACTAGACACCTTTCTAAAGCACATCACTAGCGTAAGACCTCCAATCACCTCCACAGTGGAGAAGGAAGTCCACAACGAATTGCTATTCTCTGAAGTATTATTCCTGAAGTTCTAACTTCAAGCCACCGATATGTTATAATGTATTGTTTCGCACTCAAAAATTTGCTCAATACTCTCTTCAACCTCCCCTACTGAATCACAAAACAAGCCTCCTTCGGAAATACCTACACGTGCATAGCCCTCAAATGGTGCTTCACGTTCGAAGCGTTCCTCTTCATCAAGTTCCTCAGCCCCTGGGCGTCCATCCTCTGCAGCCGGGCCTTGTTCCTGCTGCCCCTCAGCCGCGGGTGGATCCTCAGCCTCAGCCGCTTCGCCACCAACCTGGCGTGAGCGATATCCCGGGAAAAGGCGTGGAAGAACTGCGCCTCCACCACGTAATCACTCTCCGTGATCGTCATCGTGTGTATCAACAAAAAGAATTGGTCCATCTCAGATGAGGGCGACGGAGGTTCTGCCATGGCAAAAGTAGACGTTCCTCAGGAGGCGATTTCTTCTTTTGACGCCAGCTGTCCTTGCCTTCACGAGGCGAAACTTGATGTCATCTGAGGAGGATCGCTTGCGATACCAACATGTGAACGAGCTGCTGGAAATCCTGAAAGTTGGACGATACTGCGGGTGTTGTTGCATCAAAAAAACTTTCGACAATAAGCTCGACCATTCCTGTACCATCAGAGGGTTCATGTAATTCTGGCGCGATCACGAGTTCTCTAAACACTGCCGATGAATAATGCCATTCGCAACTTTTCTTCTGCTGTTTTTCGAGGAAAATCAAAAGGTGAATATTTGTTTCAGAGGCTCGCGATAGTTTTCGATATAGTTTCAATTGGACTCTCGTGCATTTGTTAGCTGATCGCGAACTGAAGTCAAAACTTTGGCGCTCGGTATAGTTTCGAAGATGCGGCCGTTCGGAAATTAAAAAGTCGACTTTTTCTGGAACTCAGTCTCGGTAATGAAAACTCGAAAAGCGACCACTTCAATCGTTTCTGTACAAACCGTTGAATTTCATCTAAATTACATCATAATTGAAACAAAACATTCATGATCCCAATTTTCTGGGCAGCGCTGTTTCGACCCGCCACAGGTCTCATCAGTGGT